TGCAAAATCGTTAATCTTAATTGTCATTATTTTTTCGTTGTTTTAAACACTTTATTGTTCGTTTAACATTAAGGATGTTTTCGGATTTCTAGAACGTGTAAAATGACATTTATGTTTATATTGTACATACGCTTGTTAGAGGAAACATTTATTAATTTAAAATGTTTATCAGCTGAATTCAAATATTTTCAGAGAAAAGGCTTAAATTAATATAATAATCCAGGTAATATTAAAAATACATAACTGTTTAAAGATTTCATAAGAATATCTGAGATATCAATAGCTAATGACAATGGATGAAGCGAGTCATCCCCATATCGTATGTACATGAATAAAGAGCATCCGCAAAATCTATTTATTCATCACTTTTTTATTGTTTGCAAAGTATTACTCTTTTGTCGAGAGAAGGTCGGATCTAAGAGATAAGGATCAAAGTTGTCATCGATGCGCAAAAGGGTAAATAGATCTCACGCCGTAGAACCTAAGTATTAAAGAGAAAAGCTCTTGTGATTGAAAATCTCTGTCGACTCGCTGCAATGTTCACAACCAATAGACTAGTGTGTCATACATATTCACTGTCTGTCTCCCCCCCCCTCTCTCTCACTCTCTCTCTCTCTCTCTCTCTCTCTCTCACTCTCTCTCACTCTCTCTCTATATCTATGTGTTTCTCTTCTTCACTATCGATCACTCTCTTTCTCTCTCCTCCCTTCTCTAGTATTCCCCACTCCTTAATAGAAAATCGATGTACTAATAATAAAATAACTCTATTTTTATCTATATTAAAACTGAAAATATGTTATTCATGAAATAATGAAAAATTGAAAATATGTGACAATTATTATGGTTTTTCAATAATAGAAAATTATATTGTCAGCCATTTTGAAATTTCTAGAATTTCAGTTCGTTTCTTCTATAAATTTTATCTAATTTTCCATTACAAATTATTGGTTAAATGTACTTTGCCATATATATATATGCTATGTTGAAATCAAATAGAAATTTTCTAACATGAAAGTCTTAAAAAAAACTAAGCAACGGAATTGTTATATACGAAAATTTTTTTTTTAAAGTCGAATCTAGCAAAAATATAAACTTACATTATAATTTACTCAAATAAATATTAAATATTAAATTATTACCTAAAGCTGATTCAGTTTGAAAAAGTAAGAAATTGACAGATGGTTACATTAATCTATCACGTAAAATAATAAATGAAAAGATTTAGTTATGACATTTCGAATGACGTTGAAATATATTTGACATGATTAAATGAACTCAACGAGGTATCGATAAAGCTTTCCTACGAATCTATTAAATGCTCGATTCCTTTATTTTATTCCGTAACGTACCCCAATTAATATTAAAATAATAAATTATTATTGAACTTTAAAAATTATTAATCTTACGAAAATAAATCATCGGTAATTAATCTAATAATGATTGTAGTTATAGAGTGTCCATGCTGGAATGGATGTGTAGGAGCAGGGGGAGGGGGGAGGTGTGCGTCGATCGGTGTTAATTAAAATTTTCAAAAATCCATGACAATGTGGGCAGATAAATTTGAATTGAACTAAATTTTTATGATAAATATATTTAATAGCAAAATAATTTATGCCTTATAAATGTACACGATTTTTCAGATACATTTACTTAGGCTAATGAATACTTGCTCTACAATTAATTAGAACATCTGTATTTTACGAGCTTGTTAAATAATATTGCAGCAGCTAATGTACACAGACGGGCTTTAAGATTCACAAGGTTGTAGAGAAGGGAAAGCTGTAATGAAAGAGTTATAGTAAAGTATCCACACAAATACAGAGAGAGGAGATATATATATATATATATATATATATATATATAGAGAGAGAGAGAGAGAGAGAGAGAGAGAGAGAGAGAGTGAGAGTTGCCGACGACCAGGAGGACGACGACGGCGATGACGACGACGACGCTATGGAAAGTCTACTTTCGACTCGTCGTACGGTGAGGAAGTTCCGTCGGACTCGTAACAAACCTTTTTATTGGTTGGCTTGCTGACCTTAAAGGCGAGGAGGACCAGACGAGAATCCCGTCCGTTGCGCGTCGTCTGATCCCGCGCGAGGTCCTTCCCTTCAGAGGCTCTTTGGACACACCGAAATTCGATTCGAAAGACACGAGATCAAAGTCCCGCCACGCCATTACGTTCTTTCAATCTCCAAGCTCTCGTCCCTCTACACTTCGTTCGTCGTCCGAGCATTGCTTTTCCGATTACTCTCGAGGAACGGAAAAGATCTCTCAAAGACTTTCATAAGGCACGAGCGGTGTGCTTACAAACAATTAGATTGCATCTACAGGGGTAAGCGGAAAGAGGCGCGACACAAAGCTTCAAATCGCATTACCTGCATGGGGGGGGGGGAGGACAGGAGACAATTCCGCGAAGATAAGTTCTTTCGAATTTATTGTGATTGGTAAGATCGACCACCTTACATTAATTAACCCTTCAATAGGGCCGCATTTTCGTAATAATGCTGTTGTAGTAATGTCTTTTTTCATTACGCAATATATCACAAATTAATAGAGAAACGATTTCCACGCAGAAAGCATTGACGTATATTTTTTAAAAGTCGTTCTAATCACTCCACTAGATTACATTAGTAATTAAAGACATTATTTATTTGTTATCGATTAATACTAATTATTATAATAATCATTGTTATTAATGTCATTGTCATTGTCATTGCCATTGTCATCATTATTATTACTATTATTATTATTATTATTATTATTATTAGTAGTAGTAGTTTTAGTAGTAGTGGCAGTAGTAGTAGTAGTAGTAGTGGTAGTAGTAGTAGTAGTAGTAGTAGTAGTATTAGTCATATAACAATATATTTGTTTTACAATATAGTGATAAGGTATATTAATTAATTATTTGCTTTCGCTTTCATTACGTATCGTTGTTGCTGTTGTGTCGCAAAATATCTCAAAATCGCCCGTTTTTAAGCAAATAGCATCCTGCCACAGACAAATATTTCGGGACTTTAAAAATTAATATGAAATTCGAGACTCGAAACTGATAGCCGGCTATAAGCATTTTCAAGACTTTAATAATGGAAAAGCGAATATATTATTCCGTAGGCTGCTTTTCCTCCTCTCGAGCCTCTGTTTAACGGCCTGCGTAAAGCAATTCGCGGCTTTCGAGGTAAGGGCGGCCAAGTACCGCAGTTATTCCTCTGCTGGCTAACCTCAAATCCGAATAAGCGTTGATTTGCATTTCGGTATCAAAGAGAAATAACGAAAAAGCACCGCATGCTACTGACAAATGGAAGATGTGCGTAATGGGCAACAGCTAAAGTAAGAGAGATAGCTGGATAGATAGATAGATAGATAGATAGATATATAGATATAGAGAGAAAGATGGTGTATGTGTGTGTGTGTGAGTGTGTGAGTGTGTGTGTGTGTGTGTGTGTGTGTGTGTGTGTGAGAGAGAGAGAGAGAGAGAGAATGACGCAGAAGGCAAGTTACGATATAATAATCGACGAATGGCTTGTACAATTCCAAATTTTAAATATTTCATACCCTTAATTGAGTAGGTACTTGCTCGCACATATCTGAAAAGTAGTGCACTGAAAGTTTTACATACACGGTAACAGAGACCGATAAGATTAGATTGTAAAACGTTACTCCGTATGCAAATAGTTTCTTAATATAAACACTTAAATTCGCAATATTTTTGAATAAATTTTTGCATTCCCTATCTATCTAACAAGAGTTGATAAATCTTTATTCGCGTTGTGTCTCGCGTTATAACTTAAATTCGTACAAATGCCAAAAGTCAAATATTACTATTTCTTGATTATTTCATTACTATTTTACGCGATGACGATACAATGGTTTAGGGGACAATTAAAAGAAAAAAAAATGAGCCAATGGTAATCGAAGATCAATCTAAACGAACTCGTGAATTATCGCGTTACTTAATTTACGTAATTTAACGTGGCTTTTGTATTATCGCTCCTTTAATTATCGCTAATCCCCGAGAAATTCACAGATTTCTTGATATCTTTGCTTCGCTGTCCACTTTAGATGGCAACCGCAATATTATTAAAATTTGTCAATTTCAGTCATCAAAATGTCAAGCAAAGACATGGCATTTCTATTATTACATATGAGAAAAAAAAAAAAAAAATATATATATATATATATATATATATATAAAGACATACATATACAAACAACAACAACAGAAAAAAAGATAACAAAGTCTGTTTGCAACACAAATAAGAATCGCTATTAACGCAATAACACGGCAAAGGAAAAACCTGCTTTATAAATGTATCGCAGAACTAAATATAAACATTACTATATATATGCAATAATAAAGTAGCGGAAAAAATCCATTTGCATAATATTATTTCTATACGCTAAAAGTTTCGTTTTATATTTCACAAATAGAGCTCGTTCGGGTACATTTCCTTATGCTAATGGAAATAACCAAGAGTAGATAAAATTGAATTTATTTACGAGCTTATTATATGTTGTACGAGCTATGCTCATGCCATAAATAACGGATTAATTGCAATTTTAAAATGTGTATAATTGGACTTTAATAATCTTTAATAAATTATCGGTATATTTATACTCGTACGTCTATACTCATAATGTATCTATAAATATCAATCTCGCAATTTGTCGGGCTGAATCGATAGATAAGTTACGGCTGCTCCCCACACGCGACCAACCCCAAAAATACATTCCAAAAGTCTCTCCTTAATGTTCCCCTCGAGCTTTCCAAATTTTCATTCGCAACGTCTCCTCGTATAGGAAAAGAGTCGCAAGGCCGCCACTTCCATAACTCTGTGAGCTACGAAACGAATCTACCACGCGGCATCGACACCACTAACCCAATGGATCCCTCGAGCCAACAACACCATCCCCAATCCCCCTCGTCCCTCGTCCCACTCCCAGCCAATCCTACATTACGCAATTTTAATATTACGGGACGAAGCGAAATAAATACCGACCTGTGTGCGTTCTCTGATGAGCCTTGAGATGCGAGCTCTTGGTATATACTTTCTTGCAGCCAGGGAACTGGCATTTGTGTATCCTGCGCTTCGTGTCCGGTGGACTATGCTCGTGACTCCTCGCGTGATGCCTGTTACTCATGGTCACGTGGCTCGCAGCGACGACCGTCGCTGTCGCGGTGTGCACATGTTGCGTCGCGCTGCTCACGGGCGGGAAGCCATTCGTGGCCACTGAGATCAATCTGGGGACGCAGAATTACAAAGTCATTTGGTGCCATTATGCCAGTCAACCGGGACACGAATTGGGGATAAATGTGAGTTCGAGGCAGGCTGGAGTTGCGTTGGGGGTAGGAGCCGTTGATGGGAAAGGTTGACGGGCGTCAAGCTCGACCAGCCGATCGATTAGTACATAGATTGGGCGAATGTGAGATCGAAATGAATTTACGAATGGCGGATTGTTTAAGAGAACCTGGAGTGAGATTTTTCGTATTATTTATCGACAGGTGGTGGTAAAGTAATGAACGTACCTCGCGACAGTCTGCGCGTTCGTGGTGGTGACCCTGACAATCGCGCTTCTGCCGTTTGTCCCGTGAAGGTTGAGATTCTGTACATCGAGCATCGAACTGCCGGTCGACGAGTGACTCGAATTCGAATGGCCTTGTCCAGATTCTGGACTGGAAGGTGGCGTCAGAATTTGACCCTCGCCCTCGCAACCGCTATCCTCTTCCTCTTCGATTTCCTATAAAACCAACGTCCTTTTATAGCCTTGACTGTCGTGTCGGATGCATCGATAATGCCGAATAATTGCGACATTTTGCAACACAAAGCCAAATACTTTATGTTAATATAAGGTTTATTTCATTAGCTGAAAGCGTATTTCATTGCAGGGATGGTACGCGTGGGACGTAAAAGTGGCAAAACCACACGTTTTTATATTCAATTGGAATTATTTATTTAGAGCACACGTAGCGTGGCTTTTTGCATAGTCGACGCGCAAAATAAAATGATTCGATTCACACGCCCTCGTCGCTTCTCCTTGGATAAATAAGAAAACTGCTGTGTGAAAAATTGTGATCACTCCATTTTTCACGTCTAGAGGTCAACGGTTCACGCAGACCGGATTTATCGCCGGCATTTTAAATGTTTCGAAAAAAGAAGCTGGAAATGTTAATTAAGAGGCATCTAATGCCGATTGTAAATTACCTCGTGTTCCTCGTCCTCCTCAAGATCCTCACTCGGCTCCTTCTTGAGAATGAGTGCTCTGCAGGACAAAGAGGGCGAACCGTCCCAGGAGAGAGCGGAACACGCGGAACTGGCCGACGACATGGACAGCGAGTCCAGGTGTCGGTCGAGTAGATCCCTGTCGCGGCCATTGTGACTGTGATCACCGGGACTCAGCTTTATGTCTTCCAAACAAAGCGGATCCCTCTCGTCCGTCGACGTCGTCACCTAGACATTACATATACTTATTTAAACTTAACATTCAATGAAAAATTATGCGTCAATGTTAAAGCTGTAATTCAATATTTCTTTGATATACTACTCTTGTTCCTTTAATCGATCAGATCGATATGTGTGGCGTAATTTGAAATGAAAATCTCGTGTAATAGAAACAAATGAAATACTGATTTATTACTCCGGAAATTTGTGAAAAATTTGTAGGTAAGGATTAAGCTGACAACCAACGTCAAATTATTTACAAGTGTATGGACGTATATCCATCGATTAGCTCGCCCGTGCGCGCGCGCACGTCTATGCGTGCATAAATATTAAATTCATGAGACGATATGTAAGTAATTCGCTAGAGTATAATTTATTAAATCCATTGATATATTTTATATAACATTTATAATATATATATATATATATATATATGCATGTGCTGTTAACAATTACAGTTACTTATTATTTCCATAAGTCTGAGGCATTTGAATTAAATATCAAATTAATTATACAGGAGTATTCTCCATTAACAAAATCCAATTGCACATTGTAATAAACTCCTGAGCCCCATCAAACCCCCCACCCCCACCCCCACCCCCACCCCCACCACGCCCCATCGACCAACTAATTCTTCAATTGGATTATTATTATTTTTATTTTTAATCGGCTACTTATTACTGACCTCCATTTTGATCGAGGGCTCGAATTGTGTTGTTGTCGCGCCAGTAGTGGCAGTCCAGATCTGTGGAGCCCTGAATAAATTCCACGGTGCTGTATCCAACTCCGTGGGCAGCTTTTTGTAGGATTGTAATTTTGGCTCATCCTTCAGGTACCTTTCCATCTCGTAGCAAGTCTGTAGGATGAAAAATTATTCTGTAGTTTTCGAAGGTTTAGGGAGGGAAGGTACAGTGCTTGGAGATAAATATTTTATCGCTAATGCGGTAAGTGCGGCCATCTCATATTAGTTAGGATTCTTTGTTAATTCATTGGGCGCACACTTACGCTCAGGCTCCCGCTTTGCCAATAGTTCAATATTTTAATCGTATGAATATACGACAATGTGAGTTTAGTGTGCACCGGCCATTGTGGCCCACGTGACCGCCAGATATAAATAAACGACAGAGCCAGCAGCATTAGGATATTTTATTAAGACATAAAGTATAACAAAACATTATTGTTTACCAAATTTAAAAATAGCGATAAAAATGCAAGTGTGCAATTATGTAAATGATGTAAATGTGAAAATGTTTATAATGATGGCCTG